TGTGTGTGTGTGTGTGTGTAGGGTGGAGGCATGTAGGGAGGGAAGGAGGAAGAGAGACAGATAGGCAGAGACAGAGGGAGCATGACAGACAGAAACTGAATGACAGACATCTAGTCAGACAGACAGATAGACAGATTGACAGGTGCAGGCTGATTGAGAGACAGATGGTAGATGAAAAGATACATGGGGAAAGACACACAGTCAGCTCAGTTGGTGTCACGCTGGACTAATATACAGATAACTATGGTTCAAACTCCAAATGGCACGTATATGACTTGGACCTATCAGAGATGGATGTTAAGTTTGGAAGTCTTGTTTTTTTTCGTCTTTTAAATAACCTTAGTGCTGAATGGTACATTAACTCTGGCTATTGGGAAAACTATTCCACTTTAAACACAGCCAATTTTTCCCTCCAATTCTTCTACATCACAAACTTCACTTAAGTCTGCTCCTATTGAATGTATTTTCATAAAATAAACACCAAACTTCGACCAAACTGAGAAGAAATTAATATCCTTACAAATAAACAGTCGTATTACAGACAAGATGAATTTGGGGCGGTTTCATAGATTTTTGTTATGACTTTATACAACAGAGTTATGCTTTGAGTCCAGCTGAACTGGCTCGCTGTATAATTAAAAGTTCAACCCATTCAGTTATCAGTTTCTAATTTTAAAAAAATGTTATTTGCTTCTCAGATGTGGAGCAGGGCTTCCTGCCATGGTTGATGGACCAGGTGACCACAGAGCTTGACCGCTCCGAGCTGGGCCGTCTAGTCCTGGACGGCATGCTGCGTGAGGTGGTCAAGCGACGCATGGAGGTCTACAAATCTCTGGACAATGAGAACGAGGACCAGAGTAAGCAAGAGGAAGGGGAGGCCAGCAAGCCGGGTTCAGCCACGCCTGCCACTGCTGCTGTCGAAGAAGCAGACGCCACTTTGCCGGCCACCACCAGCGCTGATCCTTCAGCTGTGGTGAGTGTGTGCTGAAGACTAAGTAGCTAAATGTTTTGTGAACTCTACTCAGGCGCCTCTAAGCATGCTTTTTTACCACTTCTTCTTCTTCTTCTTTTGACTGTTTGTCTCTTTGGTTTTAGAATGGAAGTCATTTTTTGGGAAGACCTTACAATTTTGGCTCATTCATCACCAAGAAAACAATCTTTTACCATCAAATATTTTGCGTCTGAAAATACTCACTTCAGAAGAAATTTTAGTTATGAGTTGCACTTCAGAAACATTCCTTTTGCCAACCTCTAGGTTTTTTCACCTGTCTATTTATTAATGTTAATTTTATAGAAAGGGGGGAAAAAATTGGTCCTCGACAGTAAGCTGAAAGAAAAACTAACAAACAAAAAACACCCAAGAAGCCCTCGAAAACGGGAAACGGGTCAAGGGACAATACTCCTCCATTATTTCAACTTTGTAAAAATGTATTGATTACGTCCCTTATTCACAACTGCGTTTTCCGCTCTTCACGCTTGAGTAGACCCAAGAGAACAATAGGGAGTAAAATGAATTTATTTTTTCAGAATTGCTTGTGACTCTTTGATATTATTGGGGTGATGAAACTATGTATTGAACTAGAGAAAAATGTTGTAGAGTATTAAGTGGATAGAAAGGAATCAGGATGTCAAAAAAGAAGGGGGGAAAAGAACAAGGACCCGGGGAAGATCAGGGAACTGAAGAAAAAAAAAGAAGGGGAAGAGAGAGAGAGAGAGAGAGAGAGAGAGAGAGAGAGAGAGAGAGAGAGAGAGAGAGAGAGAGAGAGAGAG